GCGGCTTCTCCATGCTCACAGGATACGCGTGACCTCACTATCTTTAAGAAAAATTAGAGACTGCTCGAAGTTTGTATTCCGTTCAACCATTTCATAAGAGTAACGCGAGTCTTTCAATTGAGTAAGAAAGTCACAAACCCATTCTTTACCGCAAGAGCGTAACCACTGACCACAGTAGGCTTCTCCTTTGACGCGGAAATTGAAATCGTATCGAGTATACAAAGTTATAGTGAGTTCCTTTAGATCTCCCAAACTTGTATCGTGTTGGAAACAATTACAAGTACAGGAAGAAGTCTTTCGCTAGCGAGATGTTCATTATGTCTCAGGACTGCTTTTTGAATAGCAAAGGTGGAAAAAACTTTGGTTGATCGCGTGGCTTAAGTGGTTTGGTACGACTGTCTGAATGCAATGACGAAGTAAAACATCATTTGATAAGCTGCCACCTGTCTAAAGAGGTCTTAAGTGAAAATGAGCTAATCTTCGCAAGGATTGGCCTATTTCACCTCGCTCAGGAGGATAAACAAAAAAAAATGTGGATTTGCTATAGGTATCGCCACACTTTGGGGAAGTTTTGGATAAGTGCAAAGGTAACATGTCAGTATCCTGATCATGATGGTGTCAGGAAGCGTATCCAAGGCAGAGATGTAATTAACTAGCATATGTCTCAGGACATTCAAAAGCTGTTTGGAGTTATTATTCCAGTTGAATCAGGTAGTCTTCAGTAACATTTTCTGTTATATATTTTTGTCACGTGACATATTTGCTTGAAAAGAGAAGAAATTCTTTATTAGATGAAGGGAACTTGAGTACACATCACGTTGAAAAAACATAGATCTATGAGTAAGTTAATTGCAGATGGAAATATGTACAATGTTGCTTGGTTGATTATCAGTAATGTTTTTGTAGAAGGTTAAATCACCTGACAACGCAACACACTTATTCATGCGTACGGTTCACAATTATTTGCGGTCAGTTTTCCTCAGTTTGTATGATTCTCATTAACCAGTATGATTAAATTTGCAGACTAAAACACCCCTTATTTGATTAAGAATAATAAAAGTAAACAGTGCATCACGGTTTTCAATTCCTGATGGATGCTACTGGGCTTTATTTAACTGAGAAATTTTCAATCGCTTACCTCAGCTCTCTGTGTCCCATGCCGTAAGAGGCACAAGAAAAAAGTTGATGATAGTGAGTCTTGGCTGAGACAAGAAGAATCAGAGAAGAATCTACGGTCCCCAGAAACGCCACTTTTAAACACGAGACAACTAAGGTAAATTGAATTAAGGGGTACTTGTTTTATTGAAAACTATCGTTTAGGTTATAAGATACGCGAATAACTCTCCCCACCGATTTTTTCTTACATTCTGTTAATCAAAAGTTTCAATAATTATAAAGGCTTTCTTTTTGATCGTCCTAATAGTAACAGTTTCCAGGATCCAAGGGGAGCAAAAGAGAGAACAATTTTCAGTTAGGTAAGGCGACATGCCGGCTTTATACTTCTTCCGGCGTGATAACGATAATGATGACAACAATGGGTAAAAAGCATCGTCCACTATTGAGGACGATTATCATAGTTATAAATAAATCTCACTTATAGTCCTGAGAAAAATCTCAGGGGGCCCTTTGAACCATCCACTTCATCTCGCCAGAAGTCAAAGTTGCCTACACTCCTTCTAAGGTTCGTGCGATTTTACGACGAATTTTCAATTCCGGTGTGTTGCACGCGCGACTTTTGATAGGAAAAACTTGCACGCGCCATAACTTAAAAGAACGTGTCAGTGGAATGAACCAAATCTCTATCATTTTGCACACATTCCTGGGAACAGCAAAAATTACTTAGTACAAACATTCTAAGTATAGTGTTCGTTCCGTGCAATGGGGCATAAATAAAAGGTTCTGGTGAAAAATACACTTTATTTTACACCACAGATGACAGGCAAAGGTTATGTGGGTACCCCGGTTAAAAATATATTAATAACTCTATTAATTAATCCCAGCTCTAATTTAAAGGAGAAAGTTATGAGAATAAAATAAAAGTTGTCTGTAGCACGAAGCATGCCTTCACTGTTTAGACTGATAATCCTAAAGCTTTTTAAGTATGTATTCGAATATCTTATGACGATAAGCCCGCCAC